ATCGACTCCACTGACTAAGCCTATTTTGTCTGACAGGATCAGCAGCATCGCCAACTCTTCCTTGAAACTAAGATACTGTATCTAATTGCCTTTGGCACTTGTAATTCCCCCATTAGCAGGGAATGACAACATTTGGAAAAGACCTCTCCATATTTATGTAGGGATTGGACCAGTTATCGATGTCAGCCTCATCCTTTTCCCATCCTGTGAGGATACTGGCATCTCTGGTGTATATATCATAGCTTCCTCAGAGGCAACATGGGCTTCAGTGGACAAATACTTAAAAAGGTTGCCTGTCTGGCAAACTAAAATTAAAGAAACTGAGCTGTGTTTCTCAGTTATGACATATTAATAACACGTTCATTATCAGACACGCGGGGGAACACATTTATAGAGTGGTAAGCGTCCACATAGCTGACATCTAAATGAATGGACTGTATAGCAGGGAATAAATTCTGTCATTTTTTTAGATTTATGCTTTCAGGCCCATCTCCCCACTATTATGGGTCAGTGTTTAAAATGGTGCTAGGTGGTGCAGTCGTCTGTGTGTCCCTGCCCTTTTTAAGGTGCTGTTTCTATTTCCAACCATGAATCATCTCCTTTGTCTAGTTCACATACCTTTTAAGGGCTGCAAGCTCCTGAGAAGTGTGAGCGATTATCACTGTGTGAGTTTCCTATTCTTTTTTTTTCATTTAAGGCAGAAAATGCTCTTCAGCGGGACTTTTTAACAAAAAAATTGAAGAGATTTGGAAGATACTGTCAGTGTGTGCAGGGTAACCTTTTCCGTTGGAAATGAAATTTGTGTTCTGTTAAATGATCATGACATTCTCCATGCTTCTAAAAATTAGAAGATAAATTCAGTCATTTGTAATGTTCAGCTGTTCCTTTCTATTCAGATTAGTGATTTTTAATGTTACTGATAATGAATCTAAATAAATTAACATATGGAGTATACAGTAAGTGACATGTAAACACATTTATACTGATAATTTTTATGTTGTAAAAACCATTCAGAAATGTCGCCACAATGGCTTTGAGAACAGAATGTTTATTTCCAGAGGGTTTAGTTTTGTCCTGTTAAAGTTCTCACATTTTTTGCTTGTTAATATTTGTTTCTTCAACGCTGACCTAACACTATTGAATTGTTGGACAGCTGGAAATGATGTTAACTTGAATGTTAGGTACTGTATTAATTCCACAAAGTGGACCGCTAATTGTCCTTTGGTCTCTCCATCGCATGGTAGGTTGCATTATTTTACAGGTAATGCAGTCAGTTTGCAGATAATTAGGTTTGTATATTCGTATGTCAGTAGGACCAAACTGGAGGGCCCGTTGCTTCAGATGTACAAGAGCAGTGAGTGTCATTCACTTTAGGAATCTTTCAGCTGTACACAAAGGCCAGTCAGTAAAATACTTTACATGCAGGGATAGAGCTGCACATAAGCCCTTTCTCTCCAGACGAATAACAAACACAACGAATAATTGAATAACTCCTGGGTGTTTTTCTTAGACACATTGGATGTTTACTGACTCCTAAAAATGTCAAATGATAGTATCTGCCCACACACAGAATAATGTAAAGAGGAAATTCCCGAGCAATAAATGTGTGTACATGTAAAAGCTGGTTGGATTCTATTTTCTGCAATTTTGGTGTTACTCCTACTGTAAAAAAACAACATTAAAGGCATGTAAGGAAAACTGCAAACAATTAGGAAAATCAAACTGCCATTCCTTTGATGGTTTTTTAAATTAATTAATTAATTGTGGCTGTTCATCTTGATTACAATTCAGTAACAGAACACAACTCGGACATTAGCAAAGGATTACCAATTTGAAAAATAATTTGTAAAACTGATATGGAAAGACAAAATGTGCAATGTGCTGAGATTGACCAGTTTGACTTCTGTAAGTCACCAAACAGAAAATATTTGTGTCTTTTTTTATCACCCCAAACAACTGCCTTTTAATGTGTGGACAGGGACAAAGTTGTTAAAACTTTGGGAAAGGCCATGACTGTATAGAAGTAGGACATCACTGTCAGCCATAATGACACTTACAGTAACTTACCACAGCATCTACAGTTTTGCTTTTGCTTTGAAGTCAAGTAATTAAATGTTAAAGACAAGAATGACAACACTGCTTATTATATGATTTAACAATGATGGCAACACTACTTATTATGTGATCAAAGAAGTGATTAAACAGTGTTGATCTGTTTGGTTTCCTGATGCAGCATATGAAATGGTAGCGCAATTAAAAGTATTCCACTTGTCCTTTCAGTTTTAATTGTTCCTTGGTTTCTGGCCATCAAGCTACGGTTCTTTTTCATACAGAACTCAGATGTTCAAAGACTAAGCCCTCCGTGTAATTCCTTGCTTTGCTGGATGCAGACTTATACAAGAAAGGTAGGTCTTATAAACAAAGATCTTTGAAATGTAATTATTGTTTTGCAAGAGGCGTGAGTGTGTTACCTTTTTACTCAGTGCCAGCGGCTGTACTTTCCTTGTATCTGGACTGACTTACTGCCAGCTTTCTTGTTGGCGTATACTGTGAGACCTTACTGGAAATCATTTATGAATATTTCATGCTTTGGTACAGACTGTGCCAAACCAATCCAATTGCTCCGTTTGTGATAATTCATAATGGTATTAATCTGCTTTTAAAGAAGATCATTGTGGAGGTTTTTATGCAGCCATGCAGTGGAGGGTTTTGTGCATTTCTTTAAAGAAATCTGGCATTTGGATCTAGTAACAGAGATAAATCTGAATAAATTCAGTAAGTTCTTGTATATCTCTGAGATATTTAGAGAAGCATTTAAAAACAAATGTGCATGATATTACAGGTGTAAAACATCCTGAATAAGGTATATTGTAAGAAGTACGGAAGAATAACTAAAAATCAATTTGTCTTCTTTCTTTAGATCCTAATCTGAATCAACAGTATATTAAGAATGTCTGAGTCTATGGGTTTCATCACACCGTCTTGAAGGATCTTAATGAACTGGTATTCATAAAGCTGTGAAAGGATTTTGTGCTTCATGTACATGGGATCATTCTTTTATTTCAATTAGCCATTTTCATATATAAGCCTTCTATAGTTTATCATTTTTAAGTGCATATACATACATTTAGACTACCCATTTTACACTTTATTTACATGTGCTTCATCAATGTTTATGTTCTTTCGGATTTTATCTTTCTGGTATGTGTTCTCTCATTGTTTCACATGGAGCTGAGCCCATTGCTGCTGGTTACACCCAGCACTCGACATCCCTCTACTGGCCTGAACATTCATCACACCATTGTGTTCATGCTAGCCATGTCTATCTGTGGAAAACCTTGCAAAAATATTCATCAGATACTTTTAGCCTAGCAGTAGGAGGCTGAATACTTCCGGAATGTGCCAACAGATTGTACCAGTTTGTCTGCTTCATCCTCAGCTTGACTGGGATATCGTATATTGCATTTCTACTTTATAGTAATTTCTCCTTTATTTCCAACTTTAATTTCTACTTTAAGTCATTTCTCTTGTGGGGAAAGAAGCATTGTCTTGGAAAAGGATCCCTTAGTTTAAGCACCGACTTAACAACTCAGACAGAAAGAAAACTAAAACTTGAAGATACTTACTGTGGCCCTAGGAAGACAGGAGCTGAGGTACCCCGGCCTGATAGTTGTTTTGTTCCGTTACTAATACAGTGCCCTCCAAACACACTGAGACAGAGAAGACTATTTTCACTATGAACTCATGGATCAATTAAATAAACTGATAGTGTTGAGCCAATTTTGAGGGAGAAAAAGTATTGGTACAAGCAAAGGGTGGACATCAACATGTCTCACTTCAGTATTTGGTGTCTTTAGTCAAAACTCAAATGAAAGGCTGAAAGCTCCAGGTTTGAAGCTAAAAGGAAAGAAACTCCCACAGAACCATGCCACAGATATTGGGCAAAGACTATCAGTGCCACGAAAGAAAACCCTAAAGCCACTGTCAGTGAAACTACCAATAACTCCCAGAGTGCAGAGAACAAGGAATCAAAAATATCGACAGGAAAAGGCGATATTGCAAAATGTAAACCCTACTTCCGCATCAAGAACAGAAAAGCCAGACTAGAATTATCTCTGAAGAACAAACATGAGCCAGAAGAGTTCTGGAAATGTTACCAATAGTAATAGAAAGTTACTGCAGATGTTCCCAAGGCCACCACCACAATTGTGAAGGTGGAGGAAACGTTTCGGCCTGGGCCTGCACTGCCCTTTCCACAACGCTCACGTAACTAATGATGACAGCAGCAGAACTGGACAGACTTTACAGCATCACGTTGTTTACTTGTGTATGAGGAAAAAGCTTACGTGTAGATTGGGCAGTTCCTCATCCTGCAGCGTGGTGACGATGAAAGCCAGCGCAACCAAGCTGTCCATCAGGAGAAAACAGTCCTACTCTCAGATCCATATCCAACTGAGCGTGCATTTTACATTGAGAAGGAAACAACTGAAGCCAGAACATCTCAAGAAAAGGCAAGAACTCATAGTGCCTCCAACCAGGGCTGGGCAAAGCATCTCAATTTTTCCACTTTGAAACTTATAGTGAATATGTCCCCATACTTATACTGACCTGAAATCATTGTATTTGTTCACAATATGATCAAATATAGGCATGGAAGCACACAGAAATTAAACAAATATTATACTTGAGGGCAGTCTCACAATGGCAGGCTGTGGGTTCAAGTCTCTGCTGTTGTACCTTACTTTTGCGCCAAGTAGTCAGCACTTTTTAACTACGTTTTTCAAATGGTAATGGTCCAACTTTAATGAGAGACAGCAAAACAGAAGACTACATGGATGGAACTGTCACAAGCAAAGGAATAAAGCAAGTGAGGCATCCCTCTACTGGTAGCAATAGAGAATTACATTGTTGAAAAAGATTTTAAACGTGTTGCATTTTACAAAGTGGGGCAAATAAATCATACAAGTTGCGTAGGCGTTTGGAAAAAAATAAATCCAGTATTCATCGGTTAAGGTAACTTTAATTGGATTTTAAAACACTGAAGTCAAGCTCAATAAAACCACAGGTTTAACATGTACAACAGTTTAGTAATTGCAAAACAATATTATAAAGTAACAAAAAGAAAAAAGTAAGTATTAAAAACAGTAATGCAAGACCAAAATTTATTGACAATTGAGAAAGAAAAAAATGCCGTGTACGCTAGTAACACCAATACACTGAGAAAATCAAAGCTATTTCATAAAAAAAGTGGTAATGACAAAGAAAAAAAGTAATGGTTTAAAAACGTTTACAAAGGCAAATTGTATTTTACCAGAATTTTCTCTTCTTCGTGCAAACATTACTTTTTAGATACATTGTTCTAGCAATTATTAATAAAGAGAAAGTTGCTACTTAAAAACAATAGATTGTCTCACTATTACATAAAACGGTCTTTTCTCACAGAATAAGAAAAAAAAACTACATATTTGTTCTCTTTTAGAAAGTTAGGGCTCAAATATCACTGAGGTGTGTTTTTTGGTTCGTTGGGCTTACTAAAAAATGTAAATTTACAAAAAGGACAGTGATGTAAAACAACAAAAAAGGGCAAATAAGAGAGATATATTTTTGGTGGTCGCAAAATTTACAGAACACAACTTTTTGTGTACAACCGTTTTTCTCGGGCATTAAAAATGTTGTTTGAACAAAAGGTACCAAAAAGAAAACAGGCTTCCATGATAAAAACTGAGCAACCCCTATGGTCACATTAGTAGTTCAATACTGTGTTTTACATTTCCAGGGTTACGCAATCCCAAAACTAAACTTTTCTTTCAGACATTTCCTCAAAACCAGGTCCTCAGAGTATTAAAAGTGTTCGGATATCAACCGACATGTTTTTTTCTCGGTTGGAAGCTGAAAGAGTCCTATGATTTTAGTTCTTGTTTTTTCTTTACCTTAAAAGGGAGTGCTCTTTTATAAGCCTGATAATTTCACCATCAGATATTTTTTAAACACCGAAATGCTATATAGACAAGCACCACTACTCTATGAGGGTCTCTTCTCATGGCATTATCACTGTTTAAATACAGTTTCTTGTGTGGGATTTGACAGGGGAAAGGGAAATGGGCGAGTCAGCGTGAGAGTTTGAGCCCTTTTTCATTGGCAAGCAGACGCACTGACCACTTCACACACAGGAATTACACTAGCACTAGAAAACTGGAAGTCTGAGAGATTCACAGCAAAATATCTTACAGTTTTAATCAAAGTCTTTCAAGGTGAAGCGCGGAGCCGTCCTTCCACCCGATCGGATTCACACTGCACAGTTCTCGGCTCCTTGGCAGGTGTGCTTTTCTTACCACGGTATAAATAAGTCCAGGGCTTGTGCTTTCGAGAAAAGACCGTGTGCGGTGGCCGCTGTCCGCGGCGGTCCTCAGCTCCACTGCCCCTTGATTCCAGAACCCCAAAACACATTCAGACCACGATAGGGGGGGGGAGGAAGGAGAAGAAATAAAAACAAAAACCCCTAGTATTTGTTAAGTCACATTGTATATGAAGAAAAAGCACCAACGCGCTCATTTCAGGTGCATTCCCAATGCTTTTCACACTTTAAACAAAAGCGTCTAGAAAGACATCTCGTGTAGATCTTGTAATACAGTACTTGAAAAAGAGCAGAGACTGCAAGGGTCCATCAGACACCTCTGACTTTTCCCAATTCCATTCTGCATCGCTCCCCTTTCGCAGTTAACGATTAAGGTCAGAAAGTCCTTTCCTTGTTCACACATTTGGCACTGACCATACTGCCTTACTCAATTTTGCTGTAAGCGACGTCCGTTTCACATTTAACATGCACACAAATGCTCACAACGTCAGTGAACTACAATACAAATTCCTCCCTCTGGCTCCTGGACCTTGTATCACTCTGTTTGCAAAACCTGGGAAAGAACAAAGTCACACTTTTGTTTTAACAAGTCATTATAATTAACAATGGTAGGCCACTGGTCCCATGTTTTTTCTTTAGTATGCGTGCAGCCTACTGAAATCCAGCTCGTAACTTACAGTAATCTGAGCAGGGTGTTATGTCCATGCAATGATAAGTCAGAAATGCGTGGAAAAGCAGAACATTTTTCTTGCTTTCTTTTTCCACAAAGTAAGACAGGTTCTTTGACAAAAAAAAATGAACAATGTCAATGGCCCTCAGTTAGTTTGCACCTGTGATCTCCTGAAGACAAGGCATGTTCTGTTTTGTGGTTATCGCTCAAGCAGATTTCCAGTGCACAGTAATCATGTGTTTCTCTGCCAGGATTACAATGTGAAAACCTTATCACCAGTTCTGGAAAAAATCCGGTCCCTTTTTCATTTGCTATTTAAGAGAAATAATGCCAGTATTGTAGAAGGAATGAAAGAATGCGTGTAGGACACCTTTAATCACAGTTCCTTATTCCACAGCACCTTGCAAAAAACGCCATAGCCAAGCCTTCACCCATCTCTGTACAATAGCGCCCCCCTGAGGGGTGTTATATGGCCTATATAATGCGCACCCAGTTAGCTTTCACAATAGGGGTCAAGACAACCCCCTCTGAACCCCTTGTTAGAAGCGGTCCCACATAATTCATGGCAGTTTTAAGGGAATCCGCATACTTTACCCTGCCCCTTCTAATAAAAACAGTTTACCCCCCTTGTCTTTGTGTGTAGAAATAAAACCAAAAATGTAGAATCACTTCCTGAGCATGCCCCTAAGCAGTAGGAATACTACTGCCCTTTATTCTGCGACACTGTTCTTTCCCTCCTCCTTCAACGGTGCAAAATTCAATTTGCCCCGAAAGCTACCATGTTTGCGGTACTACAGCTCCATTTTCTGATCAGTGTGACCAGTCACTTATTTCCAGTATTAGTTTGCTCTTAATGAACCAACCAAATAAATCAACAAAGATAACATACAAAGTGTTCTGCATATTCTTCAGAAATGTACAGTAAATCAGGTTTAAATTATGCACAAACAAAATCTTAAAAACGAGCCTTTTGCTAATCGTTTCTTCAAAGCAGTGAAATCCACCACAAAAAAGGGCGGTTTTCTGAAAATCAAGTTTTACGAATGACCTATCTTGATACGAAATTTAAAATCATCAAGTTTTAAAAAGTTAAGAAGAACCTATTTGACTATTGCTCAGCCACAAACCTAAGTTACATTATTGCAGCCAATTAATGTTGCATACACAGACGGTGCCTCCACCAGCTGCAGATCTGTAAAGGTGTGCATCCAGAGGCCGCTGAGGACTCAGAAATACAAAATACTGTTTGCTCTCCGACACATGGCACAGTACTGAAACGCAGCTTTCGCACTCTGACTGGAATATGGCCACACAGTCGCCACGCATGCGTGGGTCTTCTTCAAAGATTTATTTACACTCGACTCGATCAGCAGATCGGGATAATGTGATCAGGGAGCAGCGGGCCGCGATTAAAACGCTGCTTTTTAAAAAAAGGGGCGAGGCCTGTATTTCAGCACGCACGACTTGCATAATTACAAGCAGGTGGGTGGCTCAATGCAGGAGGAACAGAGCGAGCAGGGGCTGAAGATCCAGTGAGATAGAACATCTCTCGTCTGGGGAAAAAGCCGCATCAGTAAAGTCCTGGCAATTCGAACATCCCGATAACTTGTGAACATCCGGGGCAGAACGCATCGGGAATGACTTCCGTGATTTGAGGCCAGGTGGAGCGGAGTGTGCTTTGGCCTTCCTGCAGGCGAGCGAAACCGAACTCGTCTTGCTGGCTGCCCTGTCCGATTCTGGCATAGGGATGCAGGGGCAACAGCATCGAGGTTTTAAAAACAAAAGGAAAAATCTGACCCAGGTGTATTATTGTATTATTCACACACTCACGCACACAATACTTTCCATTTTAAGTGCACATCCAAGTAGTAAATGGCTCATTAGCTTGACTGAAACTGCTTGAATGTCCGGTCTGGGTGAAGAGGAAACAAAAGCAGATCTTTGCCTGGAGGTGGCGGGGGTGCTGGCGGAGGGGTGGGGGGGGGGGGGGTGGGTGACGACGTGGTGATGGATCTAGTGGAAGAGTCCAGAAGCTGTAGGGTTTCAGGATGGTCAGTGAGCGAGTGGGCCTTTAGTGTACAGTGTTGTTCGGGTCTGGTCGGTTGGTAGCGAGGTATTTGGCCCTCATGCTTGAGGTGTACTGCAAGGGGAAAGAAAGAAAAAGAACAGTATAGACATTTGCTCACACGTCATAGAACAAGCCTGCAAGTGAGACAAACAACTCTGAAAGCGGCAGACGGAGAATTAGATCTGCAGTTTGCAGGCGATCCTATCTGACGGGAGAGCCTCTGTCTACGTGATTCACTCACATGGTGGGTGATCTTGGATTTATATTAAATCCACCACAGCAGCTATTAATATTACAGGTTAAAGGTCACAGCGCTGATAGCTGATACACTTTGGAAGCTGTTGAAACAGGCTTGTTCTGCTTGTAGTAATTGTGCCTAGCATATTTGGTTACTTTTTACTGTATTTTCTTAATCATAGGCTGTACTACCCCTCCTGAGATGCAACTTATGCAGTATGAGCAGGCATTTTTTCTTATTCATTTAAAGGCAGATGCAAGGCATTATAAAATGCAGGGAATCAATAACATACAAAAGCCACCCTTTTCATCAGCATGCAAGGTGTTGTGCTTTTTTTAAAGAAACAAAAGGTAGATCACTTTATAATGAGGTTCTAGGCTTCAAGCATTATTATTAAATATAGTCCAATGCTTTGTAGTCAACCACAGTGTGTGATTCATTTAAAAAATAGAACAGAGAGTTCAGAGAGCTTCTGATCATGGTGACAAGTAAAACAAGTTCACAAATGGCAACAAAGACACATTTAAGTACTAATAAAACACAAAGTAATAATGCTGTTATTTCGTTAGTGTCATTTTGACAGCCTGTAAAGAAATGAGAGAATCCACAACAGAGCCTTAAAAAATGTTTGAAGACTGTTAAGACATCAACATCAAAGAAAACGAATATGCAAATGTATGTGGCACAATAGCTTCAACTCAAAATTATTTGACCTGAATGAATTACAATGTGGCTTGTTGATACCACCCATGTAGCAACCTGATTAGTAGATTGAATAATCCACTACCATGGACTGACAGTCCCTTAGCACAGAAGTAATTACATGTAAATGATTAAAAATGTATTTATTAATCTCCACTTTATTTTTAGGTAAAAATCTAATGCAACTTCAAACCGTGAGCAGCATGTAGTTGATATGAATTTAGTCATGATATAAATTTTATAAGTTTTAATAAGGTAAAACTACAACAGAAAAGTATTACAGCCATTTCCATTTGCTCAGAAAGAAACGTCACTCTGCACTGGCATTCATTAGATAAATGTGAACCTACAGTCGTTTCAAGAGCAATTTCCTAAAAAAGACCAAAAAGAAGGCCAATTTTAATACTTAAGTTAAAAAGATAAAAGAGTGTACATTTAATAAGCGAGAATGCTACTTAACTGAAACATTAAACTAATTTAAATATAAACATTGCTTTGTGTCAAGATACAAATTTTACCTGTAAAACACATGCAGAGGAGAACTGCTTTCTGGTGTTCCTTGTAAAAAAATGTTTTCTTCTTCAGCCTTAAAAAAATTATATGGCCATTCTTATCTACATAGATTCTGTTAGAATGTTCTCCACCAAGGCTTAAACAAAGGCCAAAACAGCATTTCATCGTAACTGATTCAATTTTCCAATGAGACAATAATTAAGCTACATATACAGAAAACAACAGAGAGCAAACAGGAATATAATAACACAGGAACACAACACATACAGTCTTGCACATTTTGTTAAACCCTGGCATAAAGTTGCTTTTTAACAGTATACTTGCACCAGCTGTAAATAATCTCAGTCTCCAATGATCTTCTTCAGTCAACAGCTGCAACCTTGCGTAATTCACAGTCGCAAAAAGATGCAAAACAAAGATTGTATGTCCGTACGATTTAAGGCTGGTCTTTATATCTCTACTGGTGGTCAAATTCACAGAGTACTTGCAAATGTCACTGAAATTCTGCTGAAACTACACGTGAATCACCGGCTAATGGAAAAAGTATCGCCCCACAGAAATGTTTTCGCGGTGAATATGTTTTACTGTCTTTCCATCTCTTCAATAATAAAGAAAAAGTACAGTCCCTCTTAATGGATTGACCACTCCCCTTAGTGAGAAACTTGGATTCTAGCCTGAGACAAGCGAAATACGAAAACCTGGGTCAAGACAGAAGCTGACAGGTGAGGCAAAGAGCTACTGCTTTGTTTGAACAGAAGCCGTGAACAGTCTGGAGAAAAATGTGTCGTGCACTTTGCCTTGGTTCCAAGGAAAGACATAATATCAAGTTTTCTTAATCGCCTTTCTCTCCCCAAAAAGATATTCACATTATGGAGTGGAAACCATCAGCAGCAGATCCAGAATAGACAGTAACTGTAAAATGAGAAATGTCAGACACGAGGAGGATCACAAGTAAAAGAAACCTAATTATTTTAATTAGCATTCATCTTGCTGCTGATTTCAATGGTACTGTACATTGGGTCTCCTGATCAAAGACCGCTAAAAGTCACGTGCACCAGCTGGGCGTCAAAAACAGAGGCTCCTACGAGACAGCAACACCAAAACATCACGATGGATGATGAACAAAGAGGGAACTGAAATCAAACGGGAATAGAGATTTAAAGGCATGCCATTTATAATCTCCAAAGGTGAAACAGCTATTGAGAAGAGAACAAAAAGATTATCAAAGCAAAAACAAAAGTTTGGGGTTATGTTGCTGTCAGATACAGTAAAACCCAGTGAATTGCAGAAGGATATGATGTGACAGGAGATTTAAATGAGAAAACTTGAACCAGCACAAATACGTTCTAGGTGATAATCGGGGCAGAACAGATCCCAACAGCTGGCTCACACACTACTTCCCCGACAACAAGGGCCATGTGTAGTAATAACATAACAGGGAAGACCTAAGAGGACTGTGAAGGCAGGGCTACTTATGCATCGCCCTGTGGATACAAGTACCTGAAAACATTAAATTCCAGCCCTAAACATGCTTGAAAAATTATGGAAAAATGAAGAAACCCAGAAGTACGAAATTACTATAACCTAAGCTAAAAAGTACATGACAGTACTGCTCTGTTAACATATACAAAACAGCAGTAAATTTAAATTCTTCAAAATCTGATGCAACTAGAATCCACAGATCCATCTTTCTGATCTCCATACTGATTGCGTTTGATGGGCCACTTTGAATGCTACGCCAAAATGTTCAGCAAAATTCGCAGCTACTATTTGACACTGAAGAAAACCAGTCTCTGTGGGCATTGAGTAAATTAATAAGCCATTTTGGACTAATAATAAAGACATGCTATTCAGTCAGAAAAAAAACCTTCTTCATTCTAACAATACACATATGCATTGGTGACACAATTCCACATATAAAAATGTCTTTGAAGCACCAGGTTTATCTAGTGTGAGGCACAGAGACACTGTTTGGTAAAATGCATAGCTTGCTTTTTAACTGCTGAATCAGGAAAAACAAAAGTCAAATGGACCAGTCCATTTGGATGAAAATTACACAAAACAAAATGAGAGGAGGTCATACAATCCTGTTTGGGTTTGATCTAACCTCTTCAGTAGTGAGCATGTAATTGATCCAAAGACCTCATCCAGCTGTTTTTTTTTTAAAGAAGCCAGGTTACTTGCTTCAACAACGTAACTGGGTAGCTTATTCCAGACTCCCACAACCTGTACAGAAGTGCTTCTGGTTCTTGGTTTTGAGCTCATTTCCATGTTCTTTCCACTTGCGTTCTCTGTCTCATAAACATCACCTTCACTGGGGAGGCAGTCACAACGTAATCAAATGCCAGACGGCTCTCACTCCTACAAACGCTCGAGAAGGACAGAAAGATCTTTTTTTTTTCCCAGAGCAATCGCTACATCCGAAGCCTAGAAGCAAACTAAAAGAGGGGATCTCCTCCCGCAGTGAAACGAGTCTTTAACTCCACAGAGGGCTGGATTATCTTCCCAAAGGGACAGCAACAAAACGTGCTGGGAGAGGCACAACAGAGATGGAAGACACAGCAAGCAGGCTGAAGCTCTTCAGAACAGGCGCCGGGAGAGGATGGCATGCTGCCCGCAGCTCCGCTTCCTCGGGTGAAGAGGAATGAGCGCAGAGGGACAGAGAGAGGTGGGACACTGGTTGCGGGGGGGCTGATGAGGCAGGGAGGTGGTGGCTTTGGGTGAATTTGGGAAGGCGGTGTGCGGGGCTTGTTTGCAGTACCTGTTAGAATAGCAGACGTTGTTACCAAAAGGATCTTGCACTGTCCGAGGGCTTTAACTGCCAGCTGTGGTGGCTGTTACTGTCCGTGGCAGTCAAATACAACTGTTTCGGTTCGCAGAAAAGAAAAGAGAGAAAACACACAGTGCAGCCTCTACGTGCAAGAACAAGATACACACACACAGTGCAAGCCAGCGACCGGAGGGAGAGACCTCGCTGTCCCTTTGCATTAGCAGCTGTCTGAGTCCATGGGCAGGGAGAGGCAGAGGAACGGGAAGAGTGAAAGACAAAGGAAAAAATCTCTTCTTTGTTCGCTTTGCTTGACTGCACTGGTCCTTGAGGCTTTAATCTTGCAGTGCTCTGACAAGTGACGTCGAGGATGGTTCCATTTACAAATAGGGGGGAGTGTGTATCATAGCCAAACGCCCTACACAACAGAAATCCCCAGCTTCTAAATGATGTTTCTGCTTGGACCGCAAAACAAAAGGCAAATTCAGACAAGATATTTAAGACGCGTAATATATGCCATGTGGCCAACTTCTCAAACAAGAAAAGCTTTAGCATGCTCTGTCATTTGTTTCCGGTTGCTCATGGGTTTGAAAACAATAACAACATTGCTGGGGAAGCACTTTAATCAACTGAAGGTGTCTTTTTTTTGGAGAGGAGCTAATGGAAGTTACTTGTATCCACATAATTTTAAGATCACATTTACAGATTACTCAGGTTCACAATGACTGCAATAAGAAGACTGAATAATGCCTGCAGTACATCATCCGTTCAATTAATCTGCAAGCCAAATACTGAGCATCAGCAGAAACATCACTAATAAGGGCAACAGACTCACAAACCTAGCAAGAAAATGACCATCTTTTTTGTGAGAGGTGCACTGAAATTGTATCGAACAGACATTGCTGTGCGGATTAAGATGTGTCATCAACAGGGCTGGGCAGAATGAAGTTTCCTGTGAGGGTGACAGTGTGTTCAGTGTGTGGCCACCGCGGGAAGCAACACGCATGGTACCTCTGTGATGCAGGCTGCAGGTGCTGTCTTGTGGGATACTCTCCCATTCCTCTTATAAAGCCTGAACGAACACATATGTGCCTGTAGCCCGGCGTCTGCCACATTCACGCCTTGCGGCGAAAACCCATCGAGGTGCAGAATAAGCATGTGCACGCACCGACGAGCTGGAGGGCCGTCAGATCAGGGCGCAGCTGCAGGTGGGACACCAGGGGTGGTCCCAGGACGCGATCACCGTGTGGTCAGCCTACCATCCATCACTACAAGTGGAGCCCTATACTAACTACACACCTCTTCCAGACAAACCCCTCGGACCTCTCCCTCGGCCGGTCTGTCGTACACAGTTCCCTTGCCACCCTCCACGCCTGCTCTCCGCCCGGGGTGTTGCTCCAGCGTACTGTTGGCACAAAGGCGCTCCCCTCTCTTGAGAAGTGTCACTTCCTTTCAGAATTTCTCTCACCCCGCTAATGAGGGCAGCGCCAAACCAACAGCCAAAGTCACTCAAGTGCGTCACAATCGATCAAGAATGATCAACTGATTAAAATTTCACCAACATTTATGAATACCCATCACCTGTATACTTTATTGCTCGAAAACCATACATGCATGAACAGTGATTAGTTTCTTCTGATGCTCCGTACAATTAGAATTCTACTAAAAGTGACACATTGTTTTAAGAACCAAACAGAACAAAGAAGCAGACGACTGCCCTTTGCCTCTCACAACATGCTACCCACACTGCCCTGCAAGCTACAGGAAACAATGACACACAGGGCGTGAAGATGCCATCGTAAAAGAAGTCAAAATAAATGCATGGATGTCATCTGTCAAATGTATGTTTTGAAAGACCTGAATAAAAAAAAAATTGAAACCATTTTCTCCCCTTCGACGCCTTATTGCTTGACTTAAGCTCTGTGAACAAGTATTCGCCCCCTTTAGGAATTTCAGAAAATCTGAAAGGGGACAAATATTTTTTCACGCCACTGTACTGCATACGCTGTTAAAATAGTCCAATACTTGAAGTACAGTGTGATTATCTTGCATTATCTCTGAGAAATCCAAAGGTATGCCAGGAAACAAGGACTGTTTTCAGAACAGGTGCTGCAGTGGAGTTCAAACCGGTGAACAAGCCAGATAAATTAATTACAGAAAGCAATGGGAGTCTTTTCCGACACAGTAAGTCTGCAGGAAGACCAAACGAATGCTCGTCATTGTTGTCATGCTTTTGCTATACCCTTTTTTGCCACTTGGGAATGCCTGGGCATACAGAGACCGCAGAAAGGTGATTTGGAAAAACCAAAACCCCAAAAAAAACACAAAAAAGGAGAAGGAAAAAAAAACAAAAACAAAAAAATCAAGGCTGCCAAAATGACACTCTTTCCGAGCAGTATCAAAGCCAACAAACTGGACACTTACAGAAGGTGGAGGGGACTCCCTGCCAATCAGTGGGGTGTTCTCACACCGAGGGTTCTGAAAGTTTGCATTCTGGCTCCTGTGTCACAATATAAGAAATGAAACATTCTGTTACACCAGTCCTGCTTGGGGCTGCCAGAAAGAAGAAAAAAATGCCACCCCCAAGCCCCATGATCAGTATATACTCACAAAAGCCTAAAAAATAAAACTTGGATCCTTCAGTATAGCTGAATGAACAAGTTTTGAGCGCTGGTATTTTTTTTTTAAACTCAGCTGCCCGGTTCAGAGGTAACTGATACAAAGAGCTTCTTGAGCTCCGGCTGGCACTTCACTTTTTTCAAGTTACGGAGGCCCGTCACAAAAGGAGAAGTGCTCTCCAGGCTGTGCTCATGCGGTTTCCTCCCCCAGCTCGGTACGTCTGCAAAACGTTTCAAACTGCCTGCCAGACGCATTGAGTGCTACAGCAGGCCTTTAAAGAGGAAAAATCATCTTTCCACTGCAACAGTGAGAACTAAAATATCTCTGTGTCTTCCTCAATTCCCTAAACAGGAACTCATGCTTCGCAAAAAGAACTTGTGTTCCCTTCCGCGTCGTGCACTGTACAGCCCAGTGTGGCACACGCTGTCCTGTCTCAACTTAACTTTATACCACAAGGTCCTAAACTCGTACACAGAGATTCAGGTTGTGCACTAGACAATATGCTAAAATAAGCAAGAGCCAGCAGCTTCTTTACTCTTAGAATCCCAAAAGTAATGAACAGCTAGCAACATGCACCGATGCATTTATAAGTCCCATATGCAAAATTTGTAAAGTTGCTTAAAATTTTATTTAAAAGATTGTGCACATATCTACAGTGACTACATAGCTTAAATGGAGTTTTATATATAAGAAGACATGTAATTCTAACAAAGACAGAGGAGGCAGAGGAATCATCTGGATTTATTATGACTTACTTCATGGCATACTGTACAGTCACTTGAAATGATAGCAGCTCACTTGCTCTTATTTTAAGTGTTTGCATAAGTGTGCTGATATAAATGCATGCAAAGTTCAATATGAAAAAAGAAGACTCCGTGTCGCTAACTCACATGTACTCTGTGACGGGTGCATTGCTGACAGTGTGTGCAGCAGCAGGAATGCTGGTCTCACTACCATAACTGCTCCCGCAGCTGTACAGACTAGGCATGTGTACACGGTACAGGTTATCGTGAGTCTGTCGGTTCCCGTGTGCCACGGACTCCTCCTCGCCATCCTCCTCGTTCCTTCGGAACCAAGAAAACAGCACAGTGAAACACAAGGCCGGGGACCCCTGCCCTTCTCATCCTGGGCACACGGACGGCTCCATTCACAGACGGCCCTGCAAACCCCCGGGCAAAGAGACAGCGATTTCCGAGCGGGGCTGAATCGCGCGCCTGGAGGCGTGAGAAGCAGAGCTTAAGAGGTCTTAAAGAGCAGAGAGCACCCTGGAGTGCTCAATAAACTTTGTTGAGCTTCAATACCTAAACATTTCTGAAGCATTACTTAAGAAGCGTTAGTTTCATTAATGATCTTAAAGCACCCAGCAGAGGATGAAAGGAGTGTGAAAACGAACTTGTGAAACTCTCTGAAGGGCAAAATCAAATGGCTACTCCATATGTAGAAATGGCATTCTTAAAACTGAAAAACAACAAAGGCGAAGTGTCAGGAAGAATACAAGCGCAGAGCTAGAGAACTGAAGTTGACCGCATCTGTCTCCATCTAGTGGACTTGTTTAGAAATTAGAAAGGTTTATGCCATACTGAAAAGAGAGCAAAAGAAACACAACGTTTCGGCTGTGGAGCCTTCTTTGGGTCTGAGAAAGAGAGGAAAGTCAGCAGCTGATAAAGCAGGGGAGAACAGGGGAGCCAGGAGTGGAGAGAGGCAGAGTGGGCAGGTGTTGTGAAGCCGAGAGAGGTGTGAAGTCAAAACCTGCAAATGAATAGAGAGGATTAGAAGGAAACGGGTCTGTCCTTGAGAGAAGGGGGAAGGTGTGATCCTAGTTCCAGGATAATTTGGGTTTCGGATGTCTTTCTGCAATAGAAATTGAGGAACCTCTCTTTGATAACGCAGATGGAGAGATCAGTATGATCGTGGCCATTAGAGGTGAAATGAGAAACTATGAGCTTGGAGAGATCTTTGATCCTCACAGCCCTGACATGTTCCTTGAAGCGGTCTCCCAGTCCCCCTTCATAATAATATAAATTATATACCCCCTGTACTGGCTACGTGGTGCGGTGTCTGAAAAAGAAAACCATTCCTTCACTTCATAACACCAGCAATTTTCTATCCATCTCTACTTCTCCTATGCAGAAGGACATGGCCTAATTTATTTTTATTGTTCTAAGGTTAAAGATGTTAGATTTAAAAACAAGTATTTGCCATCAAGGAAGTTTCTTAAGTACAACACTTAAAATTATTGTTGGTCTTCATTTTTCTGTTTTTAATTTATGCGAGTCAAAAGAATCCACAATGAAAATATTAAAATTGCCATTAAAGCAAACAAACAACACAGAGATCCAGAAATCCATTTTCCTTCAGTTACAGATTACAGTGGTGTACACATCAGCGTGCTAAAATGCAATCAAGTGTAGAGCAGCAAATAAAGACGCTGGGTATTTTTCTTTTTACCAACAATGACTTCCTGCACATTCTATAAATATGTCACATCAAATTAAAATTTTACAATTTCAACATCTTCATACATACACACCTCAGCATTCCCTTTTCCTCCTACCCTGGAAAGTTACCTACTGTACATACCTTTAAGGTCAGGTTGTGGTTTACTGTGTGCAAATACAAAGTACCATCTTCCGAAATACTGAACAGTGGAGTATCCTGGGAGGTTGATATTGTCCCTGTCCATCAATTAATGTTCAACACCATCCGCTAGATGAAATATTTACTGATGGGCTAATTTTCAAGCCAGCTACCTTATTGTGTACACAGAGTTAAAATGCAAGCATTAAAGAAAAGACAAAAAATTCTAATGATTTGTGTGACTGCTCCAAAAACAACAGTGTTTCTCCCCCTCTGAAAAGACATTAATATGCAACTCCCACAAGATGCTTTAAAAATGTGATTTTCTCCTGTGTCACATACTAGCTACACCATCCATTTTAGTTCAGCAGGAGATCACTGTAGCATGAAACATGAGAGCACAGACTTAACCCACGCTGTCACGCAAGGATTACAACATTTATTGCACCTAGTGCCACACGTGTATCTGTTCTGAAGGTCAACTATTCAGCTACCACCATTATAGAGCTCACCCTGTCGGCTTTTCACAAGAAGTAAAATGGAAAGCATCACTTCAAATCTATTTATTCAAGATAGTCATGGAACAAAAACGTTCTTTAAACATGCACTGCACAAAAGCAGGAACTGAAGACCTTACTTTCCCATTTGTCTACCTCTAGCTTCTGCCAGATTAATGCATGTTCTGCAAAACTGATTCTGAGCTAAAGCTTTGTGTTTCTATGACCAAGCAGTAAGAAATCCCCACCACTTCATCATACTGTATGCATTGTCTCTAATCTGGTGGTCCCAGCTGTGAAGCCAAATTGCTGGAAATTCAAGTGCTCAGGCAGGTACATACAGTATTCCAGGGTGCTTGGCGAGTTACTCCCAACACAAAACCAAGCCAACACCTGCTGTCCTGATGCACACAAAGACTCATCAGTGTGAGAGGTGGTACCTGAGTAACTCGCGAGTCTTACCTCTTGTGCTGCCAGGTGTGAGGGACACTGCAGACTATGGAGCTGAACATCAGCGCGGTGACAAAGGAGAACAGCACTAAGTAAATCAGGCCCTCCACCCCGTCGTAGCACAGGCCCGTGAGAGCCTGCACATAGTCCTACACAAGAAAAACACAAGGACATGAGGAAGGTTAAAAAACATGCGGCTCGTCTGGTACAAGTAGCCCATTGATATGAAGATCCCATGTTGCTGTTCATTTAAATAAGCCTGGGTTTCGGCTTTGACAAAACACAGTTTGTTCCAGACGCCCACAGCCCTTTGTGTAAGAACAAGCCCCCTGTGCTCAGTTTAGTTTTCACGACTCCTCCGTTTCAGGTTTCCCTGCTGGTGGCAGGAAAGGTTGTTGCAGAAATCTATTTGGTGTGTGAGCTATCGGGATGACTTGACTAATGTGGCAGAAATGTAAAGACAACCAGAACCCCTATGAGGAAGAACGAAGCTGACCAACCGGAAAGGTGTGAGGGCTTTATAAAATACATACGTGACATATCCATGTATATAGTTTTTTTTTTTAGAAACCTTTGCTCCTCTGTGATTTTTCATTGACCTTTATCTAAAGAAGTGAGGATGGTGTACTAACGTGAATCCCACTGGTGTTGATGGATCCCGGCCTACTTGAGCTCAATGCAGAAGAACTGCCCCAGTGCAGACAATGAGAAACAGTCAAGCCCAAGGCAGTCAGCACTCTTACCAGGAAACACAGCCATATATGCAAAGATCTCACCAGGCAGGCTCTGTCTATCAAACCATGAAGATAACTGAACAACAGGTTTGCTTCATTTCAACAGTCACACAGATGATTAACTGAAATGAATGGGTCCTAATTAACGAGATGACTGGCCTATAGCTGCATCTCGAATGATTTGCCTCGTTAATCTGCTCACTTCACAGAAGGAAGAGAGAGCTCTCCCCTGAATTTGGAAATGTCCTTGCTGGTGAAGTTTAAAAAAGGCTTTTTAATATTCAGTACATTTCCTTTAGGAGAAGCAGAAGAGTGATCTTTAGGGATATTTACGCTTGGGATATGTACATCTGTCAATCATACATCTGTATGAACGCTACAGATACAATACAGCAGTTGACTGGGCAATGTCTCTTAAAATGATTTGTGGGCAGACTTCAATGAAGCTTCTGGTTTACTTGGGACTATGGCCCTGAACAGAACAGGTAAAAAAAAGGATCCAAAAGTCTTTTTATTGTGCTTGCTCCTGAATAGTTCATTAAAAAGTGAGCTCCGCTGAGCAGACATAATGCAAGAGACACTCACCATGTGCAAGCTGCGACAGTCCACGAGGGCAGTAAGCTGGTGCAGGCCAATCTCAGTCGAGTTCAACACCCCTTGGATTTGTTCCAAATTTCTCTGAAAGCACGGGAGCAAAGCTGTCATGGGCAACAAGAAGTGAACGAAAACACCACCAGGAGCATTTCTCTCTTTGTGGCATAGATTTAAATGCGTGACAACTCCAAATAAATCGAGAAATGAATTTTAGTACAAGTGCCTTGTAGACCAACCATCGGTACATGGAAAAAGTCTCCTTCAAACCCTCAGAGGCACACCAGTTCACCTCTCTGGCAAGCATTTCCTCCCAGAGTAACACCTCAGATGAAGATTCTTAATGTTTTTTTTTTCATTTCTCAGTAACACCATGATTCAGAAATACACTTAATAAACAGTACAGAAAAGTACCAAACCGCAATGAAAACCTGGAAGAACTGTATACAAGGGGCCTGGGTCACAGCACCACACGACTTCTTTTTTTTTTTTTAGAAAAATGAGGCAGCTTATGACTTTCACAAGAGCAGAACTTAGGGGGGCAAAAAAAACTTCAGAACTCAAAACTGACAAGTTCCCTGAAACCTGTGGTAAACAGGTCTCCCTTTTAGTAAACTCAGCACTGTCCACAAATGTATTCCAGTGAAATGGATTCCTTTCTTTCTTTTTTGCAAGTCCAAAAAGTGTCAGGCAGCACTTTTTGTTTAAACAGAATGGAGAGTTAAGAGATCAGCAGAGAACAAAAACACTATTCGCTGAGAGAGAAGGAGACAGCCCTACAGAAACAAAAAAAAGGTACTAAAAAGAAACTGAACGTAGCTGTATGGGCAGAAATCGCTGTGAGGTCAGTAAGGTTAACATTCTTACATGTGTGTAATAGCTTTGTGTAATACTGTCTCTACAAAATAACACAGAAAAACAATTCCATTTATCACCCTTCCAAAACTCTCCAGGTGATAACCCACCTACATAACCTGATAATGATCCATCTTTTGGAAAATAAATTCATTGTAAAAAAACTCCTGTAAAACAAGCTACCCCCCACTTTCCTGTAATGTCATAATTACACCACACATGTTGGGTGTTGATGTGTATCTAAAATAAAGAGAGACAAATGCCAAACGGGAAGAAGACAAACCACCAGATGACTGCCGTCTAATTGTAACTCAGAGCAGTAAAATGTGGCTTTTTTCCCCCAATTTGTGGAGGTATTCTCAAGTGCAGAAATACTGTTCAGGACATTTTTAACTTTCAAGCGACTACAATCTGAAAAAAAAAACCCAGGCAGATGTTATTTTTTCAAAGCTAAACTTGTCAAGATCATTTTATTTTCTATGAAAGCATTATGGATAAACCCTTTTGGTCATGCAAAATAATTCTACAGTATAGCTCTTATAATTTCAGCTGTTTTATTGTTATTTGAATGTCATGAAAAACAATGACACTGGATCTCTTAATTCCATCAATTATTAAAAAGGATAATTTTTCTGCGTTCGTCCTTTGTTACTGAGCTGCATTTTCCCATAAATTGCTACTGATATATTACCTTCTATATTCTATACATCATATTCACTAAGTAATATACTTAATGTAAAATCACAATGTTTCTTGTTTTGGATAATGAAAAAACAGTTTCTCTGAACATTTGCTCTCAAGGGATTGCACAGAAGTGAAAATCAAAGCAATCTATCCTTAACTGGTTTAGTTTTAAAAGCACAGCAGATAAAGACTGCCTTCTTAGTATAATTTACAGCATAAGGGTATTCCTTTCGCAAATGCACTATTACTAAAGTAATATTTAGGTTTCAGATGCCATTGCCAAAATGTTTTGGTTTCTGTTTTTTATGTACAATTTAGTTTCTGAAACACTAAAACACTAAAAGAAAACACTAAATGCAGTATGAACTCAAAACACTTGTTGAAAGATCTAAAATAGAAATATAGAAAATATTCCCAATACAATATGTTCCTAATAACTATTTCCCCTTAATATCCATCTCTTACAGAGGGTTAAATACTATTTTTATTTACCATGGTTTGCATTTCCAACATGTTAGGAAGAAAAACATCAATTAAGAATTATTTCAAGACCCAGCAATTACTCAAACACCCAGAAAAGGTTGGCGTTTATCAATCCTGATGGAAACTGAAAAGCTGCACCTTTTCAAGTGTGGAAGCTCTCAGTGGCCTTTGAGATGGAGGCCCTTAGTCACCAGCATTAGAACGCAGTGCTGTAGTCGATACACACCTTGGTCTGTGGATATTCACGAGCTGCTGAGCGAAGCAGCTCTGCCACATCGTCCTGCATCTCGACCAAGGCCTTGTGACTTCCTGACAGCTTCTGCAATAGTTTCAAAGACAAGCCATCCATCACTATCCACCGGAATGCAGGAAATATGGAATGGGAGCATTCCTCACTGGAAAATTGAATAATGGAACTCTAGCAGCTGACGATGCAGTTCGGGTACAGGAGAAAAAAACAACATTGAAGTCTCTCAGCAGTAATTATAAAAACAAAAACTTTGCAAATGCCTTTTGCCAAAGTAAACAAGCTGAATACCAAAGACACTGCAAGTGAACCATGCTACAATAATTCGTGAGCTCTATAAGACATCCTTTTTGCACCTCAGAATGTGTTAATACATTAGCTTCTGGTGAGTGAAGGTTTATTCTGCATTATTTATGTAGGAGGAAAGACAGCAAACAGTGTGTGTGTGCACAAACCTGAAACAAACACAGCCATGCTTAGGAAGAATGAAAAGTCTCCAATCCGTTAAAAGCAAACTCCAGATATGCTCTCCCAGCTTTTAATATGCATTAATATTTGAGAAAATCTGTGCATTCAAACATCACTGTCTCCTGAAGTATATAACCAATACAATATTCGCTTCACTCTGCCAGCAGAACTCTGAATCATCTTGATAGAAAGGAGGCATAACAATTGGATTCTAGTTTTGCATTCAATTGTAGTGCTGAAATAACATTTTTCAGGCAATATTATAGTTTGCAGTGAGGCCACTGCTTCGTCATCAGCTAGAACACCCTGCAGTTCACCACTGGCAGCCCAGCAGGTGTGAGCCTGGCCAGTACCTGGATGGGAGACTCCTGGTAAAGCTGAGGCTGCTGCTGGAAGAGGTGTTAGTGGGACCAATAGGGGGCGCTCACCCCACAGTCCGTGTGGGTCCTAATGCCCCAGTACAGTGATGGGGACAGCTGTGAAAAAAGCACTACAGTATCCTTCAGATGAGTCTCCTTGGTCATTAAAATCCCAGGGCGTTTCTTGAAAAGAGTAGGGGTGTTACCCTGGTGTTCTGGCCAAATGTCTCCTGTCCTTTACCAATCATGGCCTCCTCATAATCCCCATCTATATATTGGCTGCATTAATCTGCTCTCCTCCCCACTGATAGCTGATATGTTGTGTGCAAAAAAATAACCAAAACTATTTGGCTTTTTTAAATACATGTCTGATTTCAGTTACTCCTAACTTTACAGGGCTCGAAGTTGAGAGCCATATTTCTAGAGCTGTATTCACAAGCCTGCATGTTTACAGTGTCCTAGGGCCTCTTCACATCACCAGATGTTTTGTTGCCTCATTATGAATCGCAAACCATGGCACTGCTCATACCTGGAAATGGCAGCTATTTTGTGATGTAAATTGGAGGTTTAACACGTTACATTTTACTTTCACTGTGGTCTATTTCTGACCCTAAACTACAAAAACAGCGTTGCAGATCCCCTTTAATTAGTCCTAAATCAATCAAAAAACAAGAAAAATAAGAAAAACGTATTTCTGTGCATCTGACAATAATGTATTTAATTGGTACTCAATTTGTACCTCCAACAGTACTGTCACCTTTTTATATAAACTGACAGATGACGTATGACAATTTAACCAGTCCTCAGTGAACATCCCCTCATACCTTCATTTATTACTTATGCATTTTCTTTGGCTTTGAACTCTTTTTTTCAGTGATTCCTTGTAACAAGGTTTAGTGGATCCTACTTTGACCTGCAACAGGTTCAATTAAATGAACGAGTGGGCACTAAAATCTGACAACTGCAGTTACATTTAATTTATAATGCATCACTCATCCTAAATTATGAGATCATTACCAAGGATTTGTTAGACTTAAGGAGACCAGTGGGCCTCTTTGATGGAATGTGCATGTATTACATGGATGACTGCCAATTATCTGATAAATCTGGCAAACACATCTTTAGCTTGCTATTGATGAAATGGTAATTGAAAGTGAGCGCTCCAAAAGGTAATTAACTACCATGTAATTATTTCTTGCACTGCAAATTTTTGTGGTAGGCACTACCAGGTCAAGTCAATTAGGCGTCTTAAATATGTAGCTAGGGTGGCACAGTGATGAAGTGGGTAGCACTGCGGCCTCACGGCGACCTGGGTTCAGTTCTGGACCTGGGAGGCTGTCAGTGTGGAGTTCGTACGTTCTCCCTGTGTCTGAGTGAGTTTCCTTTAGGGGGCTCTGGTTTCCTCTCGCAGTCCAAGGACATGCTGGCATGTGTAATTAGTTTGTACTGTATCCGTGTGTGTGTGTCTGTCCCTGCGATGGACTGGTGGACCCTGGTGTCCAAGGTGTACCCGGCCGGGTGCCTGTTGCTTGTTGGGACAGGCTACAGCCCCACCGTGACCCCGAATTGGAAAAAGTGGTTCGAAAATGAATGATGGAAAGATGGAAGAAAGGAACTACCAAGAACTGAGCAGACTTACCTGCTGAAAAGGGTTTGGCAGCCCCAAGCTGCATTTCAGGTAATACTCCAGAATGTCTGAAAGACATTAAAAGCAGAACGTAAGCATGGGTGCTCATTGTTATTCCTGACTTCTGAGGCAGCTGTACTGAAAAGTCAATTAATACAGTTTCACATGCTATGAAAGAGTTCGAATTCAACTCTTAGATTGTGTCCTGCGTTACCTTTCACACACGTACAGAGGGGTAACTGAACTTAAGAAATGATTTTAATGGTGTACAGATAATTGGTTCACGTTCTATGAGGCATCTTTGTTATGCTTAATTGTGTGTTGATTTCTTCAGGAAACAGAAGTGCGGGGGATAAGGTATATATATATATGCATGAAAGTAAACTTTCATATAAAAGTCTCCAGAACACAAACTCTACAGTTTGCAACACAGGTTTCAAGCATCGGTTTACAACAACAAGTTCTGTACATGTCTATAATGGACACAAGATAAAGTTTACAAACTTTTTCATTAATTACTGGAAAGAACACGTTTCTCACCAAGCCTGAAGCAGCAACTACAAGTTTTTACAATGATGTAACGTACAGCCGTTACCCTCATGCAAACTAATGAGCTTCATTTTCTGCCTTTACTGCAAATTGCCTGGTACCTGGTAGCTTCTCCCACTAGATCAGATGATGCATAAACTTGTCTCTCACTTCCTTACCACCACAGCCCAATTTTTCTGAGTTTCTCCCCCAGGTTCCATTTACTACTTTCCAGAAGAAACCTGCAAGGACCATTTCTGAGCAAAAGATGAACTGTAGGGGCAGTATCCAGTGGGAAAAAAATGGCACTATGCCATGACTGAGGGTGTTCCGATAAATTCTTATTTCCTTTATGTCCTTGTATTAGACAGCTCCCTAGAAAAACAACCTGGGAAAAAGCTGCCTAGAGATCCATAAAAATGATGTGCAACATTGCTCACATCAATCCACTGAGGACAAGAAGGCCTGTTGCCTTTCACTCTCCGACATGCCCTACTCCCTTAGTTACTGTAGCACATTTAAATAAAAATGTAATTTGCTCAAATTGGATGTGATTCGCCATACCTGCCAAATTGCCTACTTCATTATATATTCATAAGGGCAGCCAGGCAAAGACAGTCTCTTCCTGGTTTCAGATGACTTAATTTATAATAATAAACACTCATACCAGATCATCTTAGCTGTATTTTTTTACAGAAACAAAATAGAGAGTGAACTGGAGATTTTAAGAGTTTTCAGATGAAAACCCTGTGCTTTGTAAGCAATAATTAAAGCTTCCTGCCAGAAATGGTAACGCATTCTTTTCACATCTGTGACAGAAACTCATTTCCTACAGAACTACAAGCGCATAATCATTGTCTCCCTGGGAAATCTGACAAAAAAAATGTGCTATATATAATGCTTTAACTTACAAAAGGGGGAAAATAATGTTCAGTGGAGAGTAAGACACTGCTCCCTAGTCATAGAACCATTAATTTGTTATATAAAATTAAGGATGTTCTGCCTTTAAAACATAAGACATTACTTCCAGAGATGTCCTACTAGAATTGTAAATAATGGATCTTGGGCTTCTGTTATCATTTGTCTCCTGTATACCTTAGCACAGAATTCAAAACCCTGAGTTCTATTATGATGTAAAGTGAGCAGCTGGAATGAGTTGAAGAACAAAATACCCCATTTAAATACAACCGGCTCTGTTTCTTTTCAGGCTTTGCTGTTTCCAGGTGTGAAGGTAACTGCACAAAAGCACAAACCATTTTGACTATTACTTACTATTAATTACAATGTATTTTAGTGTGCTCTGTTTTAAAATCGTTTTTATCCATGAAGGTCCTGGATGAGAAATCAGCTTTCGAAAGATCTGAAATAAAACCATGCATTCACGACAGACTAACACACAAAGTTAAACAAAAAAGCCTATTCACAAGGCTGTTCTTCGAAATCACTTTGTATCTCCACAAACATCCCACACAGGGTATGACTCATGAAGTATATCACACTATGCTGCAAAGGTAAAAGTTCAACTGGTTTATGGTTTGGAGTAGCAATAAGACTTAAGATACTCCTCTGTAAATTATTTAATAATTAAATTAGTCTGACTGCCCACAAAATAAATACACAAACTAAACAAAGGGAGTGGCAACATTACAAAAGAAAAGGCTAGGGTACTCTGTTCTGATCATGCTGAAAGATCACATCTGAACTGCACTTCCTTGACAAAACAGAACCCATCTGCTGTAAAGCACTTAAAGTAATGAAGAGGATTAAAGGGTTAGCCCATTAAGCCAATACCAAGATCACCTTTAAGTACAGTTTTTGCTACAACTGTCTCATCATATATTTCTGTAACAAAAAGAGCTTAAATATTTCAGACTGATCTCACTACATCTTTACAGTTCATTAAGAAATAAAGACAACAAAAACTAAATACTTTTTGTAGTGTTTGTTGGTGTAAACTGAAGAACATTCACAAACAAGTAACTACTGCTCAACGTGAGGTTAGAGTTTGAATAGGTCATTTTAAGCTTTTATTGACTATTTTATTGTTCTCTGCTTAGTCAATTATATTTAAATCGATTACAGTACAATCAATGCTTCATTTACTGAAGGTAACACAGAACTGAAGGCCTCTACCCAGAATGTTAAGATGCTAAAACAGTTATGATACCTACTGTACAAGAGCATAAGAGCAAGGAGGGTCACCCATAAAATTAAACAAGAGGATGCATAATTCACAAATCAGTGAATGACATTAATACAATTGAATTCCCACACAGAAAAGTATGTTACTCACACAGGCTTCAACACAGCTTGGTCAAGCTTAGGTCAGATAAGCTAGGATGTGGCTAGATAGATGTGCTGTTGGGGAAAACCTCAGCTCAGGTTTTAAACACCCAAGACACTTTTAAAAATGAATTACTGCAATCCACTCCTAGTAAAATTAGTTCAAATACTTAAAGCACTGTTAGAATTAACCACTACTCCCATCTCTAACAAACCCACACTCTTTACAGTCAGTAGAAGACAGAATCAATAATATGCAGAAGATTATTATTATGTACAAGATGCAAGAGTACTAAATCAGATTAATACAATAACACAAGATCACAGCATACAAAAGGCATTGTTTACTCCATGAAATAAACTACCGCATGCCACTTCTGCTGAATAAAAAGACCAGAGCATTCTATTGTAGCTGCATGAATCGGAAACATAAGAAAATGAACAAATCAACTCTTGAATTAAATGTAAAACAAAGGCAGCTTCATTCAGATACTGTATTCTCCATGTTTAGCCTTATCTTAACAGCATTTCCACAATTAACCTGTTTTCCATGTATGTCCACATTTACCTTTAAAGCAGGAAAAAAAACTCGAGTTCAATTGTGATTATATATTTTACAGTGATATCATATATTTAGATTTACAAAATGCTTTTGATGACACTCCTCAAATATTAATTCTCGAATGGCAAACAAAGCCACGCTTGTTGTAGACCAAAAACAAATTAAATAATAGAAAACGCACAAGTACACATAATGGGGCATCAGATTGGAGAAAATTAGCGGTGTACCCCAGATATCTGTATTAGGACCAATGTTGTTCCAAATTTCTATTAATAATCCAGATTGTGGTGATATGAGTAAAATAGTTTTACTGAACCCAACAGAGAAGCATCAAACGCTATACTAGAGCCAAAAACCTGCAGAGACACTGGCCCTCCAGGACCAAGGCCGGAGATCCTACATCCTGCGCTACAGAGAATCCTCTCACCTCTGCAGATGAGAGATCATATGAGGTTTTCTAATCCTTGTCCTCAACACCCCAGTGTCCAATGGTTTGCACACCAGATGGTTTCTCGGTTATTTAACTGAACACTCAATTGCACTCTGATTAACCCTTTTTAATTACTTTCTGCCTGAAAAAAAGTTGCATTTATACATTTGCAATTATACATTTAAATGCACAATTTTAAATATTCAGCCCATTATTAGTCAAATGTGGGGTAGATCAAAACATGCCTTAGTGGCTATGTGGATTCTGTTTAAATTGTGTAACTACACATAGGAATCAAGATTAATCCAGGGATTGATTCTTATGCATGCACACCTCTAGCTGTGAGCTGGTTACAGCAACAGAAAAGCATTAAAGAGATTTATTAGAAGGAGCTCTGTATTCCAGCCCAGTTATAGCTGAGCTATTTTACATCTTGTCTGCATAATAAACAATGTCATCATGCCACTGACAACTAAAATAAAGTGGCTATTAATTTATATCCATGGATAGTCATACAGAACAATCTGAATGGGCTTCTCAGTTTATAGGTTTTATTACTACTTAATATGTAATAACTTCAAATGATGCATTTATCATTTCTTGTGGGATCTAAAATAAGAGGCAGCACAGCCATACAAAAAAAATTAAAGCACCGATAAGAAAAAATTATAGTGCAACCGTACAAGAAGGGTATTGTCTGATAAGAGGTGAAAAACTGCCAGAAAAAACACTTTCTCAGCAGAAGCAGTTTTTCAAGAATAATAACTCCCTTTGTACCCAAAGAGATACTTACAGCATCACCCAACTTAAACAAAAATCACTAAATGTTACATTTAAATCACCATCTGTTGGACTTCAGAAAATAGATATGAAAAAGTCCTTTTCAATGACACAAGGGCAGTAATTGTAATACTAATGCTTTATTTCTTCCATTTCTATGGGTATATTTATGGTGTGTGATGTGATATCTGAATTTTTAATCACTTTTAAATAATGTAGCCTTGCTTAGAAATATGCGCTTAGCTTGGTACCTCACTGACTTCCCTTTTGTAGGCTTAGAAGACTGAAATAGTATTTTCACTCTTAGTACTGTCATAAACATAGAAATACATGCTGAATAAAATAAAAAAGTCTCATTAAAAACTACATTCATATTAGAGTTGAGGATTCAGTGCACACCTGTTACAGTCATAAGATTCCAGTAATTGGAAGACAGAAGTAATCTCTTTTCTGACCACAGATATTATCATTTTATAAAGTATAAT